GGGAGTCTGCTTCTCCCTCTGACCCTCCTCCCTCTCATGTTCTCTGTCTCTCATTCTCTCACAAATAAATAAAATCTCAAAAAAAAAAATTTTTTTAAAAGTCTGCTATAAAGCTGTACTGGCATGAAGACAACAGGCCAAAGGAACAGAACTGAGAGCCCAGAACTGAGCCTCGAATATGTGGTAAATGATTTCTGACAAGGGTGCCAAGACTGTTCAATGGGGAACGGACAGAGTTTTATAACAAATGGTGCTGAGAACCGGGTATCCAACTGCAAAATGATGAAGATGGACCCTTACCTCACACCATACATGAACATTAACTAAAAAATGGAACAAAGACATGTAAGAGCTAAGGCTATAAAACTCTTAGAACAAAACACAGAGGAAAAGCTTTATGACTTTGGATTGGCAATAATTTCGTGGATATGACACTAAAAGCACAAGAAATAAAAGAAAAATAAACTGGACTACATAAAAATGTAAAACTTCTGTACATCAAAGGACACAATCATCAAAATGAGAAGACAATCCATGGGAACAAGAGAAAATATTTGCAAATCATATATCTGATGGGTTAATATCCAGAAATATATACAGAACTTCTACAACTTGACAACAAACAACCCAACTCAAAAAAAAAGGTGAAGAACTTGAATAGACATTTCTCCAAAGAAGCTGGACAAACAGTCAATAGGATATGAAAAGATGACCAATATCACTGATCACTGGGGAAATGCAAATCAAAACCACAATGAGATACCACTTCACACCCATTAGAATGGTTATTGTAAAAAACCTGGAAGATAATACGCGTTGGCAAGGATGGGGAGGAACTGGGACCCTTGTGCACTGCTGGTGGGAATGTGAAATGGTGCAGTCACAGGGGAAGAAGGTATGGCAATTCCTCAAAACATTAAACACTGAATTACCCATTGACTTCTTGCCAGCAATTCTACTTCCAGGTATCTCCCTCTAAGAACCGAAAGCAGGGTCTTGAAGAGATGTGTGTACACCTACATTCATAGCAGGTTATACAATAGCCCAAAGGTACAAGCAACCCAAGTGTCTATCAAAAGATGGACGGCGGCGCCTGTTAAGCATCAGATTCTTGATCTCGGCTCAGGTCACGATCTTAGGTTTGTGAGATCAAGGCCCGCGTTGGGCTCCATGCTGAATGTGGAGCCTGCTTAAGATTCTGTCTCTCCATCTACCCCCCCAGCCCCCTGCTCACGTGCTCTCTCTCTCAAAAAAAGGATGAATGGATAAATAAATATGGTACACGTCTACAGTGCGATATTATTCAGCCTTAAAATGGAAGGAAATTCTGACACTGCTACCATGAGGACGAACCCTGTGGTTGCACAAGAGGTGAATGGACATCGCGCCACTGAACTGTATACTTCAAAATGGGTAAGATGGTGGATTTCACGTTATGTGACTTTTACCACAATTAAAAAAAAAAAGGACATCCTGAATTTGACCACTTCTCATGAGCTCCACTGCTCCTACCCTCGACCAAGGCTCTATCGTTCCATGTCCTGATTACTTTAGCAGCCTTTCCACTCCTGTCTGCTTCTACCCGGGCCACTCCCTAGTCCAGCACTGCCCAAGGGACACAGAATGAGAGCAGCATATGTAATTTAACCCGTCCCAGTAGCCACGTTAAAATACAGGAGAGAAATTGGTGAGATAAATTCTAATAACAGATTTTATTTAATGCACTCTAGCCAACATATGGTTATTTCAACATGGAATTACTATAGAAAGTTACTGAGATCTTTTATGTTCTCTTTTCTCATAGTACACGTTCAACCTTTGGCACGGAGTTCATGCCCACGGCACACTGCAGTTTGGACCAGCCACGTTTTCCAGTGCCCAACAGCTACGTGCGGCTCCTCTGCTGAGCAGCTGTGCCTCTCACCCGTTCCCAACCTGACAGGCCAGACTAATTCTATTAGAACACGCACAGATCGTGTCCCTCCTCCGGCCAGAACTCGCCAACGGCTTCCCATCTCACTCAGGGTCAAAGCTGAAGTGCCGACAAGGCCCACAGGCTTCTGTGATCTGGCTTCCTGCTTCCTTCTAACTCACCTTCTGCACTGGTCTTTACTTGCCTCTGCGGCCTGTGCCAAGCAAAACCCCACCTCTGGGCCTTTGCACCTGCTATTCCCTCTGCCTCCAACACCCTTTCCCCAGGTACTTCATGGCTTGTTCCCTTACTTGGGAGCCCCTCCTTTCCCCTGATCCCTTTATCCTGCTCTATTTTTATCCATAGATCTTATCACCACCTGCCATACCTCAGATGTTTGTTTGCTTATTGTCTGTCTCTCCCACTAGAATATAAGCTCTGTCTAATCTGTTCACTGCTCTATTCCCAGTGCCTGGGATAGCACCTGGCACCTAATGGAAATGCAATAAAAACATCTTGGGGGGGACACCTGGGTGGCTCAGTGGGCTGAGCGTCTGACTCTTGGTTTCAGCTCAGGTCGTGATCTCAGGGTCGTGGGATTGAGTCCCACATCAGACTCCCTGCTCAGCGCAGAGTCTGCTTGTCCCTCTCCCTCTGCTCCTCCCCACCCCACCCCCCTGGCTCATGCTCACTCTCTCTCAAAATAAAGAAATAAAATCTTAAAAAAAGCCCCCAAAACTATGCTGGGTGAACAGTGAGCGTTCAGAAGGGGCCAGGGGTCTATGCTTACTCTGGCCTGGTAGGCCCTGTCATTTGTCGTGTTGGGCCTCATGAAGGCAGCTCAACATTCTTTTCACCCAACCTAAACTCACTCTCTCCTGAAATCCCAGATCAAGCCCAATTTCCTCTAAGAAACCTTCCTAAATGTCTCCAATGATCAGAGTCTGTCCGGCCCCTTCCTATCCTTCCCTATCTACTTACTGAGCATTGACTACGGGGGTGGAAAATATAAAGGCCTCCGTGGGCCAGACCAGGTGGGGCTTTGGGGAGCTAGAGGGCATGTGCCACCGCTTGGCTCCAGGGCCACCTGGCGCGAGTGTGGGCCCCGTAATGCCAGGGTTGCTAATTTTTCCAGAGAAGCCAGATATGTGGATTTTTACATGGACTCTTCTAATCATGAAGTGTTTTTGCAAACTCAGATTGACCCACAGCACACATATCACCTTCTAACTCACCAGGAAGCAATCAAATATGGCCATGGTTGTGCCAACCTCAGTGAGCTCCCTCTGGTCACAGATGGACTGAGGGGAATAACTGTCATGGACCGAAACAGCTGCCTAAGTCTGTAAGTTCATAATTATAATGACAAAACGAACATCACAAATGCCTCGATCATATCTGGAGGATACTAGAAATGCAGCTCATCGTTTTAACAACTGGTGAATAAAAGCAGGGGATGGGGCGCCTGGATGGCTCAGCCGTTGGGCGTCTGCCTTCGGCTCGGGTCATGATTCCAGGATCCTGGGATCAAGCCCCGCATCAGGCTCCCTGCTCCGCAGGAAGCCTGCTTCTCCCTCTCCCACTCCCTCCGCTTGTGTTCCCTCTCTTGCTGTGTCTCTGTCAAATAAATAAAAAAAATAAAAAATAAAAAAATAAAACAAAAGCAGGGGATAAAAGATTTCCTCTGCCTTTCCTAGGTGAACTATGCCTCAGCAGCGAAGTAGTTGATGAAGGGGGTTCTCTCTAGGGACATATTCCAGGCTCATCAACAGAAGGATTGACAGTAGACTGCAGCCATCTTGCAACCCCTGATCTATGCAAAGCCCATCAGGGACTGAGAACAGTACACGACAGGATGACCGGGTGTTGTATATAGCTCTTGGTGGAAGTACATAGCTCCTCAATCCCACGTACAAGCAGACTCGCCCCTAAACACGCAAACAACTGAACCTGAATCTGATCTGGGTCTCACTATTCAACCACCAACCTACAGGAGACAGGGGACAGAAGAATACTGTAAATGCCTCCAGAGGGATGCCATCAGGAAGAACCAGAGCGTGAGACCCTCTACAGCACAAATGACCCCGTTCCTTCAACAAAATGCCGCAAGAAGAAAGAGAGATGGAGCAGACATCTCCAGATCAAAAGGAATTTAAGAGACATATTGACTGAGCACATATGACCTATGTGTACTTCAATGCCAATGATGCTCAGACGGTAAAAAGTACATCTACGTTTGGGGAAACGCGAATACAAGTGCAGTTGACCACTGAGCAACCCGGGTTCTGGATGCGCAGGCTCACTTATGTGTGCATGTTTTGGATAAACACAGCACTGTAAATGTATTTTCCTTCCCTTAATATTTTATTAATTACATTTTCTTTTCTGTTACTGTTAAGAATACAGTATATAATACATGTAACATACCAAACACAGGTTAATCAGCTGTTTATGCTGAGTAAGGCTTCCGGTCCAGGGTAAACTCTTAGTAGTTAAGTTTTGGAAGAGCCAAAAGTTCTACGTGGATTTCTGACTGTGTGAGGGGTCGGCGCCCCTAACCCTTGCATTGTTCAAAGGTCAACTGTATTTGATATTAAGGAATTACTGTTAATTTTGGTGTAATAATGATATTGAAGTTAAGTCTTTAAAAAGAGGGTCTTCCCTCCTCCAAAAAAAAACAGGTCTTTCCCTGTAAAAATCCCTGAAAGATTGAAGATTGACCAGAGAAATACCAGTAAATGAACCCACGCTGGATAGGCCTCGACTGTGGCAGAAGTTCCTGTGGAATGAAGATGAGGCTGGCTGGTCAAGCCCGAGAAGGTTTCTTATATGCAATGGGGCTTGAGGCAGGTGGGGGGTGCTCAGGAGGACTGGGGGGCCGCGGTGGGGTACAGAGGGGCCTGTGAGCTCGGGCAGCAAGTGTGGCTGGGACACCCACGTCGGGCTAGGTTAGGCTCGCCATCCTGCACCCAGAGGGGGCCCTCCCACCTGAGGCCACGGCAGGAACCAACATGGAGGCTGATGGCCGCCCGGGCTCTCCTCCTGGCCCTGACCGCCCCGCCCCACTGCTCCCATGGGGGCCTCTCACCTCCGGGGCTGGGTCCGCGGTGCTGGCTTTCCTTCCCCCACCATTGCCTCCGGGCTGCTTGGACGGCATTTTCTGGAGGAAGTCAGAGATCCTCTGAACTAAGAAATCACGGTCTTTCAGGTTGGCGAACAGGAAGGTCATTTTGCTCTTGGTGCTAATGGACAGGGGGCTGGGCAGGACACTGGAGCTGTCGGCTTTTTCGACAATGGTCACCTGAGAAGGCAAAGCGAGCACTGGGGGTGGGTGTCTGGGGATGGGAAGCTGACCAGCTCTGGGCATGTGGGAGCACAGTGGCCTCACGCAGTCCTCTCCAGGCCAAGGGCACTGGCTGGGCCCCACCGCGTTCCCGTGCTGAGTCTGCCGCTTATCGCCGTGGGACTCTGAGCAAGTCACCTGCACGCGCCAGCCTGGTTTCCCCCTGCTGATGGGGGCAGTGAGCCCACCGGCCTCGCGGGACCATCGTGAGGATGATGATGCAGAAGTGCTCAGCCCCGCTGGCGGCCCATCTGGCTTCCCAAAGACGTCCAGTTACTCTCACTCTAAAGCATGGGGAGCAGCCCTGCCTGTACGCTGTCCTAAACATCGGCTCCCCGGGTACTTGCCAACAGGGGCGTCCCGGGCCCGGCTCTGACCCTGAGGCGTGTGGACAGCATCATAGGTGTGGAGGGTGCAGAATGGGCTTTCAAGGGACGCCTCTGCAGAGCCTGTGGCCCAGGGGGGTCACAGACAACAGACAGGCAGGGACTGGCCTGACACACAAGGAAAGGCTGGAGAAGCCGGGGTAAGAGTGAGCAGGGGCGGGCAAGTGAGTGTGTGCAGGTGTGCGTGTGTGTGTGTGTGCAGATGCATGTGAGCATGTGTGTGCACGTGTGTGTGCACAGGTCTGCACGCACGTGAGCTAAGATCTAAGAAGGGGTGAACGGTTCACTGAAGGTCCCACGGGTCCCGGCGGGGCATCGACATGCGCTGACGGACATTCTCAACTACGCGGGGGGAGGGGGCGAAAGGCTCAGGTGCAGGTAGCACCCTCCTGAGGGGGCGGCCGTGGACAGGAAGGGACGTGCGGGGGGGACGCGGGAACAAGGCCCGGTGAGGATCCAAGCCAGCTTCTGCTTGCCAGCTGAGCCAACGGACAGCAGGAATGCCGCTTTCCGAGGCGGGGCGCAATGTCCGCTCTGCAGCCTGCTCTGAGGGGGAAGCCCTGTGAAGGCCCCTGGTGGGCGCACTGGGGATCACTGGCACCAGGCCAGGGCCCCTGTCCTGACCCCAGAGCCCGAGTCCGTCCTGCTCCCCACCTCAGCCAGGCTCTCCGCCATCAGAAACACCGGGATCATCAGGAGAAACAGAGCTGAGGCCTATGGAGACCTCTGCACCCACCCCCAGGCCTTGGCCCAGGACAGACTCACGGCCCAGCAGGAACAGGGAATGTGGGGTCAGGGGTTACCTGAGCCCTCAGCTGGAAGCTTCTGGAGCTGTGGCTCTTTCAAGTCCCTTGCCTCGGACTTGCCTTGGGGAAACGAGGCAGCACACAGAGAAGAACCCCCCTCCCCCGACACCTACCACCACTGCACCCACAACTGGAGGGCTTTGTAAATGCAGGGAGGCCTCACAACTCCAGGCTGTTAATAAAATCAAGATACTGCGATCTAGATTATAACTTAAGAACCTCACTGTGCTTCACAGAGCTGAACAGCCACTCTGCCCTGCTGGGCCATGAGGAAAAGGAGGCCTGAGGACCTGCTCTGACCTTCTGCGGGGGGGTCTGTCAGTGCTTTCCACCTTACGGGGGCCCTCTCCCTCACTGTCCACACCCTTCACTGCAGCATAGGACAAACGGCCTTGCTTCCGTCAGGGTCACTGTGGAAGCCTAAGAAATCTGAGAAAAAATTATCTCTGACAGATGAGAGCCGTCCCCATCCCTGACGGGTGAGAGCTGACCCCTACCTGTGACAGGTGAGAGCCGTCCCCATCCCTGACAGATGAGAGCTGACCCCTACCTATGACAGGTGAGAGCTGTCCCTATCCCTGACAGGTGAGAGCTGACCCCTGCCTGTGACAGGTGACAGCCGTCCCCATCCCTAACACAGGTGAGAGCCATCCCCATCCGTGACGGGTAAGAGCTGACCCCTACCCGTGACAGGTGAGAGCCGTCCCCATCCCTAACACAGGTGAGAGCCATCCCCACCCCTGATGGTTGAGAGCTGACCCCTACCTGTGACAGGTGAGAGCCATCCCCATCCCTAACACAGGTGAGAGCTGACCCCTACCTGTGACAGGTGAGAGCTGTCCCCATCCCTGACGAGTGAGAGTGGACTTCCAGTGGCCCTGCTGGAGTCTGAGTCACAGCCAAGGCAAGTGTCAGGAGAGGAACGTGAGGTGGCCTCTGAGAGTGACATGGTGGGGCTGGTCAGGGGTCAAAGTCCTCCAAGCTAAAGCAGGCCTTTGCTAAAGTCCAACTGCTGGACCAGGAAGGCAGGCCTCAGGGACACTCACCCGCAGGAGGCCTCTGGGATCTGCTCAGGGAAGTACAGGACTTTGCTGGAGTTACCTGAGCTCTCCCAGCATGCCAAACCCCAGCCTGTCTCCCCACCAGGTAAGGTGACCCCTGAGGCAGCATCCAGCTCACCCGCCTGGAGGGGCCCGGCACAAGGCAGGGGCTCAGGGAAGTTGCTGACTCACTATGTGCCCTCCACATGCCCACCACCGAACGTCGGGGGGCTGCCCTGGGCTGGCGACCCCCACCAGGTGCCCCAGGGAGTCAGGGCAGAGCTGGTGGGGCGACCGGGGGCTCACCTCCCGCAGGGGTATGATGAGGTGGCAGGCGTCTTCCTCTTTGCTGGCGAAGCAGATGTAGTTGCTGGAGATGAACATCTGGCCAGGGATGTGCAGCTTGTTGAACGGAGTCCACAGGGTACAGCCCGTGTGGCCATCCAGACGCTCGTCCCTGGGCAGGCGGAAGGTTGCCCGGTAGCACTCATTCTTGGCTCGGGCATCCAGGTCTCTGGGAAAGGCCAGGGGTGGGAGCAAAGGGGACAGCAGTTAGGGCCAGTGTGCCTGCAAGCGGGCTTCCATGTGGGACTGGGCTCTTTGGGGTCCTCCCATGAGCAAGTCATGGCCAGGGGATCTCAAAGTTCAATAAAACACACACAGCAGATGGCCAGGTACCACGAGACACATTTGTAGGACCAGCAAACAGCATGCCCTGGAGCCCTGAGGGCTCTGGGGGACACCCAGAAGCTTGACAGGGTTTGACATGTCACCTGCTTGGTGCTGAGGGCGGACAGGGCCCTGGGGCCTGGAGGTTCCTACACCTGTCCCGCACACCTCTGCCCTGAGGTTGCTGTTGCCCGGGAAGACCCAGCCCCACCTGGACACCCAGACAAGGACCTCCTGAACTTAAACACGTGACTCTGTGGATGAACACAAAGACACGCTTGCCCGATGACCGTGTGAGGCGGCCGCCTGGCACCCTGCTCCTGGCCCCCTTGGTGGCTCTTTCCTTGTAAACATCTCTTCCCCCAGCCGCACGGGGGCTGCCGGCAGCCTGAGCAAGGCGTGGAGGGCACACCCTGATGGATGGTGTCAAGTCCTGGCCCTTGCTTGTTTCCTTTCTGGAAGGTTCCAAAAGCACCCCATCACAGGCATGGGGAGAGTGACATCCTTGGATGGTGCCCTCTTGTAACTATGTGCAACCAGTCCTTTTCTGGGGCCTTCCTCCCACAGGGCACCTGGGAAGGGAGAGGAGGGCCGGCCCCTCCCACCCCAGGGGGCTGCGCACCGCTTCAGAGCCGAGATGTTTCTGTGTGGCCGGGTAGGCCGGGGCAGCGCCTTGTCCTCCAGGAAGCCCTCGCTGTCCAGCAGCTGCCGCATGGCCAGGTTGGCCAGTTGCTCCATGAGCTTGAAGGTCTCGCCGATGTTGAGGAACATGGAGAAGAACAGCTCCTGGTCCCGGGTGTCCACACGGATGCTCTCCGGGAAGAGCAACGTGGCATTCTTCTCCAGCCTTGTGACGTCCACCCACTGTACCACCAGGCTCACTGGACACCAGCAGGGACACATAAGCCAGTGGGTCACACGGGCCGGAGGGCTGGACAGCACCTGTGCCCGAAACCCACTGGGAAAGCCGTGCCCCGAGGGCATCACGGACTGTATGCAACACCCCCCCCCGCCCGTGTCTGAGCCTGGCTGTGCTGGGACAGGGGCTCCACGAGGAGGGCCCGGGCCATGGGGGTCTCCACTGTGTCCCAGGCCAACCTGGCACCCCACCCTGAGAACGTCCTGGTGACTATCTGCCCCACAAATGGCTGAGGGACGACACAAATGCATGCGGGGAGGTGAGCTGGCGGGTACCCTGCCTGGTGAGGAGGTGCCAGGCGGGAGGAGGGCAGGGCGAAGGATGTGGCAGGTGTGTGCACGGTGGGGCAAGGCCTCGCTGCGCTCAGAAGGGCTGAAGCCCTGAGAGGCTCTTTCTGGGGGTGACGTGGCAGCAGAGGGCGCCGGCTGCCCCTGGGAAGTCAGCCTTGCGCCCAGAGGCCTAGGGCTTCCCGCAGCACCATGTAACCTGGAGCCACTCGGGGAGGGCATCTGCCCTAGAATGTTCAACTTAAAGGAGGGAAGGGAGCCCCTGAGCCGTGGCTCTGGGAAGAACCAGGTTGGTGGACGAAGGTGGGCCAGGAGCCCCCAAGAGCCAGGTGCGTGCCTGCCTCAAGTCCAGGTCTCCTTGCTGCGGACCTCAGAGGCACACTGGGTTTCGGGGAGATCCCCCGGGGTGTGTGTGTGCGTGCAGAATATCGGGGGACCGCGCTGGAGGAAGCCCCTGAGGAACTCTGGTGGTCTGGAGAGGCGGGGACCGTGCTGGAGGCGGGGGTCTGGGGGCGGCTCACCTTCCTTTCCCAGCAGGAACGAGTAGAAGCACAGGTGGTTGACGGTCAGGTAGAGCCAGCCCTGCCGGGGCACGCGGCCCTTCCAGAAGCTGCAGGAATAGTAGTTGACCAGCTTCTCCCCCTCCGGCATCCCGAACTGCTTCCGCATCTTCAGCTCAGCCTCCTTGAATTTCCCAGGGTCCTCGTCTCCCTGGGGCTGCAGGTTCTTGTTCTCTTCCGCGATGATGCCCTGCAGGGGGATGAGGGGCCTGATTCCTGGCAGGCCTGGGGGCGGGTGGGCAGGCGCTGAGACCCTGGACTCCTGGCCACTGGCCCCAGGGCCACAAGCTGGCGAGGCTGAGGCAAGTGGTCAGACAGATGCCAGGCAGGTTCCCTCAAATCCTGAGCTAATAATACCTCAAGCATGGCTGCCTGGAAGTAGGGACTTTTAAAATAAACATTTATTTCCACGTAAAATTTCTGGAAAATATAATAAACATGCTAAAAACCCCACACAGTAGGGCAGTGTATTCAGGAAGCATGGAGTCTCCCCCTTGCCCACTGTAGCCACTCTGCTGGTTTCCTGCAGGGCTACAGGCACTGATGTGCCTCTGAGCAAACATGTGGTTTTCTCTTTCCCTCTTTCTTTACCCAAATGGCATCCAGCTATGGCAATGTTCTGTAAAGTGCTGTTCTCACAACGGGGATGTTCTGTATTTATTTGACTTTCTCCCCTCTCTCTCAATATACCAGGGGCTCCTGCTTCTTGACCCCACCCACAGACCAGCTGCAGGCCCCTCCCAGTTCAGGGCCCCCAGACCAGCTCTAGACCCCTCCCAGCTCAGGGCCCCCTAGACCAGCTCTAGACCCCTCCCAGCTCAGGGACTCCAGACCAGCTGCAGGCGCCTCCCAGCCCAGGGCCCCCAGACCAGCTCTAGGCCCCTCCCAGCCCAGGGCCCCTAGACCAGCTCTAGATCCCTCCCAGCTCAGGGACTCCAGACCAGCTACAGGCCCCTCCCAGCCCAGGGCCCCCAGCCCAGCTCTAGGCCCCTCCCAGCCCAGGGCCCCCAGACCAGCTCTAG